GTGAGTACAAACTTGTCAGATTCAAATACTAGTCTAAACTTATTCTTACTTAAAGAAGCTCCAGATACCAAGTTCTTACAAATATCGAGAACCTGCAGCACATCGATTAGTGTTACTTCTTTCCCTGATATCATCTTCAGCACTACTTTACCTAGACTAACAATTTTTGATGTTGCCGAGTTGCCCATGAATAGTTGTCGTCCATTGATAGGAGTGTAAGATGAAAACATCTCCTTATCAGTACATACGTGACGAGTAGCGCCCGTATCAACGAACCATTCTCTCAGATTGTCCACCACGTTTGCTTCAAACACAACATCTAAGAGCATTAGTTCAGATACACCATTAGACAACCTGTTTTCCTCGGTTATGTGTACTTGGTCCTTTTTGTTTTGCGTTTTCTGTCGGCGGTCCTTTGCAATGTGACCTGGCTTACCGCAGTTATAGCAATCTCCTTTGAATTTCTTGGCCTTGCTCTTCTACTTGCCATTACTCGAGTGCTTCCTTTTCCTGCTAGTATTTGGCTCCACCAAATTGACTTTAGCCTCCATTTGTAGCTTTCTAGATTTCTTTTCAGTAATGCGATTATCTTTTTCAATTCTTAATCTACTATTAGTTCTTCAAGTCCAATTTCCTTCCGTTTATGTTTCAGGTAGTTCTTGAAATCTTTCCACATTGGTGGTAATTTTTCGATATTCACAGCAACTTGAAATGACTCACTAAGCTCCATGCCTTCTGTATGTATATCAACCAAGATGATTTGTAACTCTTGGACTTGATTCATTACTATTTTAGAATCCACCATTTTGAAGTCCAGGAATTTTCCTACAACGAATTTCTTCAACCCGACATTTTTCGTTTTGTACTTCTTTTCCAATGATTCCCACAATAATTTAGCTATCTTGACCAAACAGTATACGCTATATAGTGTGTTGTCAAGGAAATTGAGGAAATAGTTCCTGTATAAGAAGTCACTATGACTTCATGCATCGAATGCTGCTCATTTTTTAGAATCTATTTCATCCTCCTCAAAAGTTGGAGCGTCTTCACTCAAGAATTTTTCTAAATTCAGAGTCGTGAGATAAAACAACATCTTCTGTTGCCATCTCTTAAAATCCACTCCCGTAAATTTTTCTGATTTTTCCATGTGAGCATTTTTAGGGGGTACGACACATGCAGTATTACTTGCCATTATCGTCATAACTTTGTTGGAAGTGGGCAAGTAATAATATCACCAAGAATTAACTTGGGCATAATAACATCGTGAAAAACTGAATGCGATCAAATGTTAATGGTCGAGGCAAGAGTTCGATTCTTTCTCCTTAAGACGATAATGCCCCGCACTAGTGCTGACGGTATTCCGGCACTCGTATCCCAAGATACAACGAAAATAATTTTTCGAGACTAGAATGCAAAATATGAATAATGCAGGGACGAAGGAATAATATCGGAAGAGGAATTAAATCAAAATTGATTTTGAAGTGAATGAAACCGAAGGTATGGGGGCTTATTTATAGAAGTTGAAAAGTTGTGTTCAAAAGACACAACAACTGAAAAGTTGTTTCTTCAACAGACACAAACCGTTTGGACTAGCTCAACCATCAACCGCCCTTCTAGAAGAATCCACGTGTCA